AAACTGTGTGTGTGGGGGGGGGGGCGGGGGGGCTTAAGCAGGTTACAGTTGAACCCGGAGGTTTTCAGGAAGAATCAGCTGTGCTCTGGAGCACATCGTGGCTGGGGCGGGCAGGCGGGATTTGTCATCGCTGCTGCATTCCAGGCAGAGGGGGGGCACTTTTGATATTTAAGGGATTATTATGGTGGCCATTCAGGCGGGACGAAAGCAAGGATAGGATGTACAGGAGGCTTTAAGCTATACTGCTGCTGCTGCTGGTGGTGATGATGGTGGTGATGATGGTGATGATGATGATGATGGTGGTGATGATGGTGATGATGGTGATGTGTGTCTCTCTCTGCAGGCCACTCTCGTGAGGATGCGATGTCTCTCCTCCCCACACATATTCAATCTGACCTCCCTTGGTGTTCATTCCCTTTGAATTCTGCCCTGTGATGTCTGTCTGGTCAGTACCAGCCTAACTTTCTCCACAGCTACCTGGGAGCCTTTCAGGAATCGTCCCCTCCCCCACTTCTGAAGACTGGGTGCTGTGGAGCAGTGCCCCCGCCCCCCCCGGAAGCCGCAGGCTGGATCGGCATTGTTGATTTTACCCAAGTTCTTTTGCAGATTGTTGAGCCGGAGTGATGGATGCGCTTTTGTTTCTTGATGCGTTTCTCACGGCTCCCCGGCATCGGCCTTGTGCCCCTGACTAACGGGGGAGTTCAGGCATACATTCTGCTCACAGGTCTGCGGTTCTCGGTTAAAGGCACCTGCCGGGACATTAGTGGGCCGTTTCTCGGTTCCCGCTGCGTGCCGGATCCGCTTCCTCTCCGCTGACCCACGTGTCCTCTGTCAGATTACATGAAGGGCTCCGTGTGCAGCTCCAGCACCTGCTCCCTGAACAGCGAGAACCCCTACGCCACCATCAGGGACCCCCCCGGCGCGGCCTGCAAGCACACGGAGAGCAGCTACGTGGAGATGAAATCCCCCGAGCGCCGGGAGCTCCCCCGCTGCTCGGTCACCGCTGCAGCCGCCGTCGCTCCCGCGGCCAACAAGAATGTGTACGATGTGGGTGAGTGCGGCCCCCCAGAGGCCGTATGGAAGGGAAAGGACTTGCAGGTGGCAAAGTGGTGAAGGACATTAACCTGTAAATTCATGCTCCAATAGGCTCATTTACTGTTATCTGTTCAGCTAATCTGGAAAATCCTCTCTGTCCCGCAGAGCCCACCGTGAACATTCTCCCAGGATCAAGTGGACTGGTCACCAGTTTCTCTCAGAACCCCTATGATCTCCCCCGAAACAGCCACATCCCCAGCCACTACGACCTGCTGCCCGTGCGCTCCAGCCCCACGCACACCCCGCCCCCCCCGGACAGCTCCCCCGAGTCCCTGTTATAGAGGCCCCCTGGGATCTATGCGGTGACGTCACGGTGACCTGGCACCACCGGAGGATGGACGGCGTGACACCCGGCGTGACCCCGCCTTCGTTTACAGGATGCGCCCTAAAAACTCTCAGGACTGACACTCATAGGGGCCGAGGAAGCTGCCCGCGTCCCGAAAAGCCAGGACACCGGCTGCACTCCGCCGTAATCTCCCGGCTTCTGCAGACAGCTACGGCCGACTCGGTGGGGGCGGGGGGGGTGGTTGTAGTGAGTGCGGGGAGGCTGGCTGATTCTGGACGTCACACCCCGTGGGCGTTCATTAGGAGCAGGTCATTCATCCAGTTCCTGGTTTACATTAGTTTTTAATGCTGTTTGTGTTTGAGTGCAATCACGGGTCCCAGTGTTACCACACAGGGCCCCCCAGGTACCCGCCAGTAAGCAGATGCTCATCCTGGTCGTCAGGCCCCCTGGAGGCTGGCCCTGACTCGGCAAGTCGGGCACTGGAGTGCAACATTAAGCCTTCGGACCAGGGAGATGACCCCCCCCCCCCCCCCATAGGTTTGAGCCACTTAAAGGTATTTAGAGACTTTTAACTTAGACACCAGGTCCTTGGGATCAAGCATGGATAATTAGTGAGAAGTAGTGACTGTATTAATAAGTTAAAATGTTTTATTTATTATTTTTTTAAATTTGTATTTTTAACATCAGTGGCTTTTTGTTTTTATTTTTATATTTACAGTAGTGTAGTGAATTATTAGTAAGGCTAAAATAAGCATGACCACATGATTACTAGTTAGTGTTGTTAACACACATCTGCTGCATACATGCCGACTGACCACAGGGGCAGTTTCCGGACTCTCACGGGGTTTTACTGCTGCGTCTGGCTGAAGCAGGCGCCCCCAAATCCCTGCTCAGAAACAGGCAAAGAGGGATCTCATATTTGTTGTTTTGTTTGTTTCTGTTCATGTAAATATGTACTTTTTTTTAAATGGGGAAAAAAAAACTTAAAGCATTGCTTTCAACATTCAGCTTACACCTTTGTGAAATTTTAGAAAAAGCTTAGACATATTTATAAACTGTGTCAGATGACCATTAAGATTACAAGTATGGGTTCGTCAGTCAGAAATTGGTCTGTAAATGTTATGCCCATAAGTATTTCTATAGGTCTGTAAGTATCTTGGTCCTGGTGCTTTGTTCATAACTCCCCTGTGTTTTGACGGCTGAATAAATACCACACTGGTCCCATTTCACCTTGTTAGCAATAACATTCTGACAATCCTACAGCCCCGGTCGGTCACAGTTTAAGGATGTAATGCCATGCGTGGGATTTTTGTGGTGGATCAGATGGGACCTTTCGTTGTTCACCCCTGTGCTGTGAAAAGGAAGCCGTTATATCTGCTGCTCAGTGTGACTCTTAATAAAATGCTGAATAAATTTGCCATTTTGCAGGTAGACATTTTTTTTCCTACCAGGAATATTCTGACTCACAATTCTCAGGCTTTACTTTGACGGTAAGAATCCACGCAGATTTCCTGTGGCTTACATATCAGCTTTTAGCAGTTAGGATTAAGGCCTTGTGCGAGGGTAAAATAACTCTGCCAGCTGTGAGATTTGAACCAGTGACCTTCTGTTTATGAACACAGAACCCTAACCCACCAGGCCACACACTGCCCCATACTAGCAGCTTAGTTTCTTTAGCAATCAAACAAATTTTGCCAGTTCCTTGTCATTTAACTTCTGCTTTAGATCTGAGCTTCATTAGCAAAATACTATGTAAGCTAGGTGGTGTGGTGGTTAGCACTGTGGCCTCATGCCCGTAGGACTAGGGTTCAAGTCCCTGCCAGGCTTTTGTACCTGTGAGTAGAAGGTTGTTGGTTCAAGCTGGGCCTTGGTATGTCTGAGGCTGTTTTCAGTGAAGGCAGTCTAAAGATGTTTTTGCCCAGGGGATTGATAAAGTGTCAATTACTATTTCTGTTAAACGCTTGTCCTATTAGTCTTGGGCCTACAATCATTAGGCTGTGGTGCGGAATACACTATTGTAGGGGTTTTGAACCCAGGTTCCAGGTGTATAAGACAGCAGTGCTCACCACTACACTACCAGGCTGCTCACCACCCTACTGCAGTAATTCCCATAGATTTTCTTTCCAGGGGTGATGTGTCTGAACCCAATTTCCTCTTGGTTTTATGCTTTCTCTGTTAGTTCAGTGGTTGCTTGAATAGCTCAGTGGGCTGGTCCTCTGTACCTGTGATTAGAAGGTTGTTGGTTCAAGCCTGGCCTTGGTATATCTGAGGCTGCTTTCAGTGAAGGCAGCCTATAGAGGTTTTTGCCCAGGGGATTGATAAAGTGTCAATTATTTCCTTAAAATGCTTGTCCTATTAGTCTTGGACCAAGGCACACTGGGGTGGGGTGGCTTGAACCCAGGTCTCAGATGTATGAGACAGGTGATATGTGCAAAATTTCCTCTTGGTTTCATTGTTTCTCTACTAGTTCAGTGACTGCTTGAGTAGCTCATTGGGTTAAACTTCTGTACCTGTGATCCGAAGGTTGGTCTGAGACTACTTTCAGTGAAGGAACGATATGGTGTTTTTTTTTTTCCCCTGGAGATCAATAAAGTGTCAATTATTATTTCCTTAAAATACTTGCACTATTGGACAAGGTAGGGTACACTGTTTTCAGACTGGCATAGGGGTGAACATGCTATTGTAGGGGGGGGGGGGTATAGGGGAGGGGAGGCTTAAACCCTGGTCTCAGATGTATGAGACAGCAGTGCTAACCACTGCACCACCACGCCACCCCCTTAATATGTTTACATGGATCGCTGTGAGCAGTGGTGGCCTAATGCTTAGGTAAGCACACCTGTAATCGAAAGATTGCTGCTTTGAATACCTAACCAGCAAAACACCACTGAAGCAGCCTGAGCAAGGTACCACCTCCAAGTACCCCCTGGCTAAAATGTAGACGACACATTTTGCTGTTGTGTGTCACTTCCACTTCAAAGAGTCAAATGACTCAATATTTACTTTAGGGGGAAGAGGGGAAAAAATACATGTGTGGCTGTGCTGGCCAATCACAGGCTGCCATGAAAGCAGCGGAGCCTTAGCTCTGCAAGGCAGCGTTTAGGACCGCATGGAGAAGCAGGGGGGGCCTGCTGGAGGGATGGAGGGCTGGATGGGGGGTGACTGCCAAATCGCACATCATCTCACTGCGATCAGATCACGCTGAAGGGGGGGGGGGGGGAGTCATGGCCCTCAAAAGGCACGACGCAGGACAGAGCTCAACCAAGGAAATGCAGCGCTCAGGCTAAATTTGATCATCTTTACTTTTCCTTTTGTTACATTCCTTCCTGCTTTACATTAGCGGCCGTGTGTTTCAAAGCAAAACGGGACACAAGTGAAAGGAAGGTGACTTTGGTCCACCAGTTACAGTATTTAATATGCATGACATTTAAAAATTACAATATTCTGTTCATGGCTTATATAAACATCTATATTTTTTGAAAACTAAAGCTCAACTTTTGGCTGATGTAAAACATTAGTCCAAGATGCAGTTTCATACAAGTTCGACCAATGAACACTGACACTGGACATGGGTCTAATGCCCTCTAAGAAAATCTTATCCTTGCTTTAAAACAAAAACCGCTTAAGATGCATCATCCTACGTGTGACTGAAGGGGCTGGGGTCAAGCTCAGGGGATTTAAGGAAGTTTGTGGCATGAGAGCTGAGCAGAGGGCAGCTACACAGCATTAGTGGCCGGTCCAAGGTCATTGTCATACCAGCCACCACTCTCTCTGAAGCGAAACACCAAGGATCTACACTCTATCTTAAAACATATAAAGTTTTAAATAAGGAAACACAAGGGCAACGTGGTGATCTAACAGCTTTACCAAGGCAGCAAAATACCAGTCCTTACTCCAGATGTCACCCAATCAGATCAAGCCTCCCTGCCAGAGCCTCATCACGCAGCTGTGAACTTGTCCCAAAGCAGCTTCTTCCAAAAGAGCAGAGCTCCCGGCACCTCGATGGTCGCCCCCGCTAGATATTCTGGCAGCACTGCACCTTTGGTTTGTTCTCCGTCGGCTGCACCTGGATGGACACCACATTGTTGCTAGGAGACATATCGTTCTCTCGACGGTCGGACATCTGCTTCTGAGACACGATGCGGTAGATTTCTGCAAGAAAAAGAGCATGCATGTGTGTGAGAGTGAGGACGGTTCACACGGAGAGACATAACTCGAATGTTTCCACTTCATACGTTCCCTTGAGACGCTTTTATTCCATTTCCTTCAGCATGATTTTTTCCTCCACAAGGCTTTGATCATTATTCAATAACACATTGCATCTCGTGATTTAACTAAAGAGAAAGGGAGAAGGGGACAGCCTTACTGCACTCCAGGCACATGGAGCAATAGAAGGAAAGCCCTCAATGCCAGTTAGATGACACGGACTCCAGCAGACACACAACAGCATTGCGACACACTAATAACCGAGCTACACTCTCACCACCACACTAAAAGGTGCTTTTCTCTATGCCGCACCCAGAGGGAACCATCCTGCCTCCACAGAAACAGCGGCCTTGATTTATACCGAGCGGAAAGCAGGCCGTCACCAGAGACACACGGCCTACCTGTCAGGATGGTCTGGAAGGCCGTCTCGACGTTGGTGGAATCCAAGGCTGAGGTCTCCAGGAAAGATAGGCCGTTCTTCTCTGAAAGGAGGAGGAGATCATACCAGGTCAGGGTGACGATGCCGGCGGCCGTTATGGGGAGGGAGGGCATGGAGATGGTGACCCTGCAGCAGCAGGAGCCTGACCTGCGAAGGCCCGCGCCTCGTCGGTGGGCACGGCCCGTAGGTGGCGCAGGTCGCTCTTGTTGCCCACCAGCATGATGACGATGTTGCTGTCGGCGTGATCGCGCAGCTCCTTCAGCCAGCGCTCCACGTTCTCGTAAGTCAGGTGCTTGGCGATGTCATACACCAGAAGCGCCCCCACAGCCCCCCGGTAGTACCTGCACCGGGGAGAAGGTGAGCATGCTCAGTGACATCACTGCCAAGAGCAGGAGTCAAGGTGTCACGATGGTGTAAACAACGGGAAATTCACCAGCGTACACACACATACACACTCAAACGGCATTTATAAAAGGCACGCCTGGGATGCAAGCAGCCAGGAGATAACGGCATCGAGGATCAAAATCCAGCCCAATTATCCACTTCTTTTCTCATAAAGCCCAGCAAGGGCATCCTCACCCATCTGGGGGGCCGTGAGACGTGGCAGTGCCACTCTTAGCTAGAGCTACTTTGAGGAATTCACAGACCTGCCCATATCTGCAGGAGCTCCCCGGGGAAGGCTGACCCCCGCCCCCCACATTCCTCCTCATCTTCATTTTATGCCTCGACTCCATCTTGGCAGAATCTCGGCAGGACGTTGTGACATTTGCCCCACTCTCCAGCACAACTTTATAATCTCTTAACCCTCCCCTGAGAGTCCTCCATGTGATTTCAGCATGAGATACAGAAAATATACAGATTTCAGTTACGTGGTTGCTAAGAAACCTGTCCTTCCCCAATCTGCATTCCAGAGTAACCCCCAGCCTGTTTAAACCTGCCTGCATGCCAGTCCTTCCAAAGAAATAAATTAACATTCCTCTAAAATGCAGCCTCCCCACCTGGCCGGACACATCCAGGATAATCTTATCAATGGTTAGATTCCTAAAAAAGCAAAAACCTCCATGTTCCTTCTCAAGGTCAGCAGTATCATCTCATTATTTCCAGGAAAATGCAACCATGACAGATTCTCTGAATCATCACCGTAGGAAAGTCACAGGCAGCATCTTCAATGGCTTCCGTCTCAGAACCCCCCCCCCATCCCCCATCACAACTACCCTCCAGAACCTCAGGTAGGACTTCAGATCTTCTGGAGGTAGCTTTAGACTGACTGTCAGCCCTACCTGGCAGTGAGGAATCAGGAATGCCCTTTTTATACGATTACGGGGAGCCAGAATTACTGTAGGAAAGTCAAAAGAAGAGATGACAAAAATCTAAATCTAAAAGGACGGGGGATGGACCCACAGAATCACCTTTGGGAAAAATGCATTTTAAAATGGGTGAAGGACTCGACGAGCTCACAACCCCACAGGACCAATCAGGTTAAATATAAACACGGAAATAGCACTTTTCTGCCTGTATACTGTTAAACATCAAGCATTATACCCATTTCAGAAGTCACCGCTAACTGCCCACTACTACTAAATAAACACCCGTTCATTAAAGTTTGCCCAATGTGTCCAATTAACACAACTCCACATTTTTAATTCTTCTGGTATACCAGGCATTTCAGTAGTGGGTCGACAGGCATGCGGACCTGCAAATTTATCATTGGGACCCCTCCCTGGTTATCCTGGTGGAACCCCCCCCTCCCACGCATCTAGTCCAAGTCCAGAGCCGATTGTTAATCCAAGTCTAGACTTTCTAACATGTACGTAATATGGCGCTTTTTCATGTTGCACCGGAGCCGCACTGCAGAAGAGAGACTAGTTACAGAGTGGTTAAAGCTCGCTTCGGATTTCCACTGCAGAAGAGAGACTAGTTACAGAGTGGTTAAAGCTCGCTTCGGATTTCCACTGCAGAAGAGAGACTAGTTACAGAGCGGTTAAAGCTCGTGTCGGTTTTCCACTGCAGAAGGGTCGGCTCGGTAAAGGCTGAGTTTGGAGAGTGATAGTGACATAAATCTAATGAGACGCTTGTTTACCGTCTACATGGTGTACATCCTGATTTAGTATGTGCTAAAATCCACTAGCAAGTCTGTGAGAATCACTGTGTTATGTTAGCATACAATGCTAACAGAATTAGCATTCCCTTGCATAAATTTGCATTACAAATCCATTCCATTCAGCTGTTCTATGAAACTTTTTCAAGTAGGTGGTTGGAAATTTTCTAGTTCCAAAAATGCATCAACACATCGTAAGAAATTTACAAAACAAGAGGAGGCCATTCAGCCCATCAAGCTCGTTTGGGGAGTTGGTGGTGACGCAACCAGCTGGGTTTGGTCACACCTTCGGCCCTGCTAGCACACAGTGCCATGTCAGCGAGGGTACAGCTTGGGTACGGCTCAGATGCTTTACAATGGAAAACCGCCAGTTCACAGTACGGCTCAGGTACAGCTCGGTTCTTGGTGGTAGTGGAAAAGTGCCAACAGACTGCAAACCAGGTCCTGGTGAATCCTGCTGATAAGACATAACATTTGTAACAGGGGTTCTAGCAACATATGGTTTCATATGGTTCTAGCAACATTGCATGGCCCTCAAATTACTGCAGACACTTTAGATATTAAAAACAATAGTAATGTGGATAATGTCTGCCCTTTCGTCATTTAACGTGACCCAGAAATAGGCCGTTTTGGGAGCGTCTGGCCATACTGACCAGGGCTAAAGCCCTTAGACAGTAGGCAGCTAAGGTGGCCGTACTCACGCGGAGGTGATGGCGCGGTAGCGCTCCTGTCCGGCCGTGTCCCATATCTGGGCCTTCACTGTCTTGCCGTCCACCTGGATGCTGCGCGTGGCGAACTCTACCCCGATGGTGCTCTTGCTCTCCAGGTTGAACTCGTTGCGTGTGAAGCGGGACAGCAGGTTGCTCTTGCCCACGCCGGAGTCTCCGATCAGCACCACTGCGGTAACAGGAGGCAGAAGGTGAAGAGGTGAAATGCCTGCAAACAGCTTTAAGAGACTGAAGAATGAGAGCCAACTGCACCCTGAGCTGCCCAGCCCATGTCCCACCCATCGTAAAGTTTAGGCACATCAGTGAGAGGCAGTGCAAGGCTATTCCTAACCTCATCTTGAAGCTCACTTCGAATTTCTAACCACGCCTCAGGTGAAACAGGCTGTTTTTAAAGAATTAAAAAATTACATCAGATCACCCATAGCAACTTTTTACATAGTCTTGTATTATTAAGTGCCATCAGTCTCTCTCCATGGGTCATTTTCTGACCTGTGAATTGGTCCAGCACTTTTCTCACCAGTTTCACCAGCTTTCTACTGGTGTGGAGAACATTGAGCATGTGGTTACTCACTAAGGCCCTGTTTGCTTCCACTGTGACCGCTGTAAAAACATAGCACCGTTTTTCCCCAGCTGTATCCCAGAATCCCATTCTGTAGCACTTTGCCATTCTTTTCACAGACGTTTGGACCGAAAACATCTGATCAAGACCCTACAAGCTCCCAATATCTCTGACATTCAGAATGAGCAAATGCAGACACAGCTATACATTTACAAGGCTATTAGAGATGGACTATAAGATTAAGAAAATACAGTGAAATCCAAACGAGGTCTTGAATGCAATAAGGCAGAACTGACACTCCTAGAATCTTTCGAAGGCCCAGTGAGTATCCCGGGTTACGCACCATCCTAAAGAATATGGTTCTAGCAACATTGCATGGCCCTCAAATTACTGCAGACACTTTAGATATTAAAAACAATAGTAATGTGGATAAAAATCTGCCAGCCTCAAGGAAGTTGACTGAAATCTTAAGCAAACACTGAGTGTTACCAAACATAACATATTTACTCAGAGCATACCACTAGAGACATCTTTAGCCACAGATATAACCTAACTGGCTATGTTGTGTTGATTGAAAGAACCGGAAAAGCGATATTCGGTCGGGATTATTATTAATATGGTCAAGATACCTTCACAGGTTGGGGCCGAAATTCCGGCCCTCTAACCTACACCCACAGCTGTCCACTGGATCATGGCCAGTAACTAGCAAGTTCCAGCTGTTCCTTGTATGTTGACCAAGGCCAAGAAAGGCAACAGACCCAAGAAGGATTCTGGGCAGACATCACGCAACACACGGCCTCTTTGAAAGCTTTATACTTGGAAGCAAAAGTCACTTAGGCTTTAATTGCTTTGAAAATGTCATTAATTGTACTATAGGGGAAGAACACAATGAAAAATAGAAGTGAACAGGATGCCTGTTTTCAATTCAGAGTACAGATGGAAGCACACAGATAAAGCAGCACTGACCCGCTCCGAGAGCGCGACACAAACCAGAACCGTGTTATACTGTGGAATTTGGAAACATGGTCCCTACACTCCCCCACCCCCAGGGTCATGGGCATGTGGCGGGCTCAGCAGCACATAATAATAATAATAATAATAATAATAATAATAATAATAATAATAATAACAACAACATCATTAGTAGTAGCAGTACTCATAGCAGCAACAATACAGCACTCCTATAATCCATTTACACATAAAGAAAAATGTCTCACTGCACATTCACTGTGCTTCAAGACAGCAGTCTGATTAGACCCTGCATTATCAGGTAACCCTGGTACAGTGCCCTACCCTTTTCTGAGGTTTTCTGTTTCTGATACTTGAACCAAGTAAACAGGCAGAGAAGACGCCAGCTGGTACATCGGTTTGACTTTAATATTTTCATTGTAGACTAAAATGACCTTTGTCGGTCTCTGAACATGGACATCTAGTTCAGTTTCCAAGTCCAGCATTAAGTGTTAGATAGGAAACTGCAATACAGAATCAAAACCATCCATCTTGATTACAACTATAGGGACAATCTACCATGTGACTCACCAACCAAATGGCCACTACTATCACCGTAAAGGGCATGTGGAAGCAGGCACATTATATTACACACACACACACCTAAGAAGCTCAATGCCGTACTCAAGTTAATCCAGTATTCTGGGTGGGACACGGGCGAGCATCGACCTATTAACATCAGCTGACACTCTAAATGTTTCTGGTATCTTTGTGCAACAGTGTATTGCGAAGATACAAGCGATTCCCTGTCGGTAATGAAAGATACTGTGCAATATTATAAGAGAAGATGACACCGCAGCTATAAATATTATAATGTATCTTATATTATGCCGAACGATCAGAGGTCTGTGCGTTGTAAAATGTCACAATGAAAAGCGCTTACAGTGTCTTCTTTCCCCTGGAGGCAATTTCCTGAAACGCAAAACCTCGACCCCGCCCCAGTCAGAAATGGAAAATAAGGGAAATGGGGGAACAAAATACTATCTTTGGAGTCTAATAGCAGCAGGCAGCAGCGCACGGTCCTGGCCGCGCCTCACTCCCATGTTTATTTTTCACTTTGCTGGCCAGCGTCGGTCTGGTTAAAGGTGCCCAAAGCCCATCGCCCTCATCCCGGGAGCGCAGGTAGTGAAACATTCGCTCCCTGCTTGGTCGCTTTCCTTCCTCTTCGCCATGTACTCCTGTGAGCGAAGTTACATTTCCCAGAAAGCGCTCGGCTGATCGCCATAAGGCTGATCATAATAAGGCTGATCACCATTAAACAGAAGCCGCGTTAAACGCATTTCCTGCATATAAGCATTTGGGCAGCGCTCCCCTTTTCTCCTTCCCGGCTGGTGTAACACAGGAGTATCACTGGGAAGCACAACAGTGTGTTTACCTTTAAACAAGTAGTCGTACTCCTCATCCCTCGTCCCCATCTTCCTCTAATTCAAAATATGTGAATATCCTTTTGCACGGAGCAGGAGGTGCGGCACCCGAACTCTGGCTGGCCGGCCGATGCTGCCCTGTACCGCGAAGACGGGCGCCGGGATCCCGAGAAGAAGCAGGCGGATCTGGACTTCCGGGGTCAGCGCAGGATTCCCCAGCGGGAGGAAAAGCCCACCGATCCCGAGCAGGATGAGGCGTGTGCAGCCAGCCGTACTGGGGAAGTTTCTAACAGGGCTGGAGGCTGGTAAAGGCGGAACGATGCCATAAGCGACGGTGACGCCGATGTCACAATACAAACAAGCGGACTGCGAAATGACATTTTCATATACGGCGACAATTACGGAAGCTAAACAGCGTTTCATTGCACAGACGCACGATGTGCGCTTTGACTTCGTTTTGACGCATTTATGAGATTCTCTTTCAGTCTGGTTTTTTGTTTTTGATAGGTGTCAGGATTTCTTAAAGCATTACACTTTAAACTACATTCTGGTGCTGTTTAAATCATAGACATTTATTTCATTATTTTTTGGTTGGTTTTGATTTCAAATCAACATTGATATACAATGAAATCTCTTACTGTACTTAAATCATATAACTACATGAAGATTTAAAAACAGCATACAATTTCTCTTAATTTAGTGCTCTGTACAAGGAACAAAACGTTATATTCTGGTGCACCCCCGGAACTTGCTGCAAACGTTACAAACTTTTTTTACATAAGAACCGCAAGCACCTTAACTTGGGCCCTACACATTAGTGAAATAAGGGTTTAAAGGTCGGATCTGATACATTTCCGGACAATGAATTTCTATCTGAAACATTGTTCAGACTTAGGAAGTACCGAATGTTATGATGAAATACCTTGTTTGTTTTAAAAAAAATGTGGCATGGTTTAATTTGTCAAAGTGAACCAAGAACATCTTGATTGCTGATCATAGAAAACGCCTGGTAGTCATCAATAACGTTAAAAAAACATGTCATTAACCTTATAAGACAGTGTAGGAAGACAGGCACCGTGTGGTTCCATGGTGTAATGGTTAGCACTCTGGACTCTGAATCCAGCGATCCGAGTTCAAATCTCGGTGGAACCTGAATTTTCCCTCCTTTTATTTTGATTGATAGTGACATATATATGTATATCATATATATACACACTAAAATATAAAAATGAATCAATATATTACCATTGTTCGTATAAACAAAAAGGAAGATAGATGCTGTGGCTCAATTTTTTGATTAATGAGATTGATGGATGGACGTTGTGTCAATACTGTCCAAGACTGTATACGCTGGAGAACCGTGAGAGAGGAAATGATAAATAAATAAAACATAACATGCGTATCGGCGAAATGCAGTAAGTGCACAAGGTGAATACATCAACAAGCAGTTGGGTGTGATTTTTTTGCCTGTGTCTCACAGACTTATAAGTGTAACACATAACCATATTTTCCCTGGACCTCTAACGCAAAGAAATGAACATAATACCTATAACAGAAAATACTGTAAGAAGCAAAAATATTGGGACATGGGGTCAAATGGATTATTTATTTATTCATAAAAATTGTGTTCCAGGTCAAAAGATCAATATATGAAATACTGAATATCAGCGGTTATTTATAGGTAATATTTTCTATCAGTGTTAATGCAGTGATACACTGGAACACGGACTTAATTCGTTCCAGAAGCCTGTTCGAGTTGCGATTTGGTCGATGTCCAAGTAGAATTTCCCCATAAGAAATAATGTAAATGAATTTAATCCGTATCAGACCTCCACGATTGCATATTTAAACCTATCTACCTCTCTAACCAATGATAAAAAGCATTATCAATCAATATAAAACTAACACACACGTGAAAAGTACGCATACAAAAGGTATAAACATGAAATAAATGACAATTTATGAGCACGGACTTGTCTTTACTGACGATGTAACTGGAGATGGTAGTACAATGAATTAAGATGTTTCTGTAAACCTCAGATCTTCCCAAGTGCAAGCAAATGCCTCAGAATTCATCGGACGGAACTTCAAAATGCAGCAAGGTAGTGACCCAAAACAGACTACACACTTATCCAAGGAGTCGATCAGAAAAACGAGGCAGAGTTATATACAGGTCTTAGCCCAGTTAAGCATAAAACTGAAGTGATAAACGCCCCAAATGAAAGAGGCTGCAACATAGGCGAGGCAGAGCTGTCAAATCATGTGGTCAAGATGTCAATGAATCACAGACTTGTAAAGGACTGGGACCAAATACTAACTTTGGACAACTAAATCTTGCTTTAAGTCCCAGTATTTAAGCTCAGTTGACACTGGAGTAGTAAACATAACGTTTTTTCAATATAGTTCATGCTGTTTGCAAAACATTTTCCAGACATAAAAGCTGACATTCTCTACTTTAGTGTCACCATGACAATTTCACCTGGAGTATAAATTTCAAGAAAATATAACAAAATTAAACAATTATAGTAGCCTGTCACAGTATTTTTACTTCTTACTGTATATATTTATGTGCATTAGAGCACATTACTACTCTACTAGCACAAAGTAAAAAACATTATACTGCATGTTACACGTACATGAAGCAAAAGCCAAGGCACAAAAACACACTTAGTGGTTGGTTATTCTTCTGGGATCCAGACCAGAACTGCTGCAGATCTGAAAAGAGGAATTTGACCAATATCAAAGACTCAAAAGCAAAATGCCACAAGTGTCACACAGATGTGCATGGGGATGAAAACAATACAAAGGCAGGCAGAAATGCTCTGACGCTCACATGCAGCAATCTGACACAGAAACCCTTTTGAACAGTGATTTTATTAAATTAGAAGCTTAAAAAACACTGCAGACACTGACTTGTCAACATCCATTTTCCGTTAATACTTTAAAGCAAATTCTTCGAAACGTTAGCGAAGGGGGGAGGGGGGCATCTGTAAAACCAATTTTTAAGCTCATGTAAGGTGACTAAGTTCATTCAATATGTATGTCATTCCCTCCCCTTATTATAAACATAAAGTAGAGTTATTCATGCACAAAACAGATTTTCCATAATTGTTCACAAAAAAATCCATATCCCTGCATCATTTATGAAACCCTACCAAGTCTGCCATGTTAAGAGCTACATCAGGTCTTAGTAACATTGCATTTAATTCTGCTGACAGTTAAGAGGTTCTTAATGTGCATTTTACCCCAGCGCATCATATTTCTATTTTCAGAAATTTATAAGTAGTGTCTATTTAAGAAAAATAAATAGAACAGGCTCAAGGAATAAAACACCAGCATCAGGTTTAAATTTGGCAAAAGAAGTTCATGTGAAGATATTGAATAATTAAGAAATTCCATCCACATGAGGGGAAAAAACTGATCACAAGGAAAGAAAAAAGTAGACATTCTGAATTAATTTGCATAGAACAAATTTAATTCCACATAATTGCAGGTCCCAGAGTAGTACTGTCAGGTATTGTCACAGGTCATTTCTAAAAGAATTAAAACTGAATTTGAAAATAATGCTGCTCAACAAAATGTAATCGTCTGCAGACATCGCATCTTCTCTCCAGTGAAGTTGTATTCAAAATATAAACTTCAAATTAAGGATTATTTTATTTTGGGGAGCATAAATATGTAGAAGGGCGTTCTATGTGTTGACCAGGACACACAACCACAGAGATCAGATTGTTTTCTCTCTTTCGGGCCCTTGAAGGTAGAGTACAATCAAGGGGGTAACACGTTTCGTTTTTCCCAGGATGGCACTGAACAGCATGAAGTCATGCTGCACATCAGAGGGTCTCGGGAAAAGGGCTGATGGGCTGAAGGGCAGCAGAGCAGCCGTCGTCACATGAAATCCTCATAGTCTTGGGCATAGCCCCCATCAAAATGGCCGTAGTCATCCAGGTCGTCCTTCAGATTGGCTTTCAGACCTCCGCCAGGCACCACCCCCTTTTTCTTCTTCTTTGCTTTGTTCTGCTGTGAATAGAAAACAAAAGGCATGTTTTTGTCCCCCCCATAAAGTACAAACCAAGTCTCAGTAGTAGTGCTGGGCAATCCCGGGTTGCCCCCTTCTGAACAGAAGAAGAACTACAGGCCATCACAATAATTGTCAGTATTAAAGGCCAAATTTACAGTAAACTAATTTCTACCTGTTTTTTAATGTAATTTTAAGTAGTACCTTTTCTTGCTTTTGTTTTTCGCTGAGCAGCACTGTCAGGGAGTTGCTGATTTTCTTTAAGTCCTCTACCTCAACTGTGTGAATTGCGCAAGAAATACAGTAGAAGCATGTATAGAAAGCAGCTTTGTCCAAAACCATTAATAATAAGTACCTTCTAATCACACCAGTTCAAAATTAAACTAATACTGCAATACAGAAAGGGAGACTCACGTGAAATACAAAGATCACGAAACAAAGAATCCAAAAAGTTGCAATAATGCACAGACTTTTCATACTGAGATATCTTCTCCTTTAGTAACCTCCCAAATTCTGTAAAGTCTTCTTTAGATGATGGGCTCATGGAATCTATTCCTGCAACATTATTAGATACACCTGCAAAAATGTACATTATATTAATATAATGCAGGGGAATTCTGCAACACACTTTTTTTGTTTATTAGATTATGACTATACCACCACTTTGAACATGACATAAGACTAACTCATCGATTACTTAGTTATGAGCAGCAAAGTATTATAACAGTTTAAAAATATGATGGGTGGGATTATCAAATATTAGTGACTGAGTGATTTTGCCTACTTTGCCATTGGTCAATTGGCTGATTGGCGAGGAGTGAAACCACTGTGACTGAGAGGGAACTGTAGCCCCGCCCACTGGCCACTCCTTCCCTAAGAGGAGAACAGCAGAAAGGTACCAAAGGCCTCCTTGGCCAGCTCCAGGTCCGCTTCCTCCTGCAGCTTCTTCACTCGCAGCTTTTCTTCCAGCTGTTCTTCCAGCTGTTCTTCCAGCTGTTCTTCCGGCGTGAGCTCCGTGATCTCCTCCGACTCCAACTAGCCATGGACCACAGAAAATACAGCAGACACCGTCATTCAAGGGCACGTTTACGACTTCATGCTCAGAAGCGTTCCACCACATCATCATTCGGTCACGGCATTTAAAAACGATCCTCATGGGCATGCGGCTAAACAAAACTCGCTCTGATTTAGACAAAGATTAATTACACAACAGAATTAAAGCATTAACCCACTGTTTAAATCCACTTTCTCAATGCCTGCAGTTATTAATCTCAAACAAAGAATGTGTTCCCTGCACACTGTGATCCAGGACTATAATTGATTGGTTATTAAATTTACAAAGGGCTTAGTCAGACAAGCCTCATGATAGGCGTAAATCACCAGCTATTAAACTGCCATTTAGCTGTTGCAATAGCAGAAAAAACATCAATAAATATTTGGTTGCTGATAATCTACAGTTAACAGCTATATTGCTGTATACGGAATATTGCTACTTATGATGGAAAGAAACTGAAACCAAGAGGATGGCAGAGAAATCCAATCCCTTGTATCTCCTTGTCTATGTAGTTTTCCAAGCATATGTAAATAATTAATGTTTACGAAAGCAAAAATGACTTAAAAATGAACTGGTACACACACATTAAAGAGATGGATAGAGCGCTGAGGAAACAAGTATTTCAAGTATTTAAAAAACAAATTGCTCCTACCATTACCAAGCAGGTCAGCATACTGAGCAAAGGCAGCTACAGACTAAGAAATCAGAGGAACCTCACTGGAAAAACCACTGGCTTTAAAAATCAGCTCCAGCTATATCAATTAAGAAGGGAGGGAAAAAGCTTCATTGATTCTCAATAGAGAGTCACCGCTGCATAACTACTCCTAGCAGAGACATACAATCCTAATGTTTTAATTAAAGCCATTAATCAAAACTCAAGCAAACAATTCCAATACCCACCTTATTCTTCAACTCCTCTTTTTTCTTCCTTTGCAGACTTTCTTTTTCTTTGATTTTTTCACTTAATTTCTTCTTATCTGAAACTTTAACTTCTGAAAAGAAAAGAGTCGAATATTCAGCACAGAAACAGCAGCTAGAATTTTGAGGCGTGACGAATGTACCCCCATCTCCAGACGCATGACATCTGCTTCCTTACTACTTTATTTCTGCACCTGTTTTTTTCTCATCCTCCTTCTTCTCCTCCTCCTCCTCCTCCTCCTCATCATCCCAGTTATCCTACGGAAGGAGGGAAGCAGAGACTTACACACATGGCTTTAGCCTAATCTTTCACAATGCTAATTATTCGCATTGCTCTGGTGTTTTGAGTTTACACCTACAAACACCTTTGGATTAAACTACATACAGACATATTTGGTAGTTCTTGATAAAGGGAACGATATCTGCATCAAACTTTTTTTCTGGTATATATCAAATTCAAACAGAAATTTTGGAAAGTTAATAAACAGTAGTAAAATTACATTCCTCAAATCATTACACCTCCTCTTTTTTGTAAATCCACACTTTCTAAATGTCATCACTGCAATGACAAGATAAAGGAGCCTAGATGACAGAATAGAGTTGTATGAAATTAGCAGCCATGAAACATATAAAAAAAAGACATGAAAAAGGCTAGTTTCTCCCCTTAAATGCTCTTTAATGAAGATGAGACACAAACAAAATCACTATGGCAAAATGTGCTCCAATACCTTGCCTGGGGACCCTCACACAATATACCACCTTCCAATGACTCTGTCCTGCATCACTAAAGGTTAATGAAGCTGTTTGTAACACTTGTGCTTCTGAAAATAAAATTATATCCATTCAGGTGTACAAGAGAACCAGGAGTGAAAAAAACATTACAGATTAGCAGGCGGCATACGGAGCTGGGCCTTCTCTAGCCCCCAGTCTGGGACGTTTTATTGTATAACAGCACTATACGCTAGACTACAACACATCCTTAAACAAACAGCTCAGTATCCAACACCTGTCTAACCATTTACACCATTAGCATGCAAGAGGAATAAAGCAAAGTTGGTCATTTCTGCTGCAGTTTGACCCCAAACATTTGAGACATGGAAGCTTCCAGACTGGAACAAACAGAAGAGGTGAATACAGACAGGTACTAAACCAGAGGTATGACGTGGGGGGGGGGGGGGGGGGGTAGGCAGCACACAGAGAGGGAATTCTATAGAAATATACAGAGTGACAGTGATACAGACCTGCTGGCCAAAGCTTATCTGTGGGGGCCACGTGATTCTCTGTCTAAATTACCTAAATAGTAGTTATTAAAGATATTAACCGATACTAAGCAAGTTGATTCTGGAGGACGTTTTCTCACTCACTTCAGTCATCCGATACTGTGATGACTGTACCGACATGTGCTTGTAAGTACTGCAACATTCAGTCAACCAGATGGCAGTAAAAACACGACAAAGCAGTACACGCACGTCAAAACCAAAAGGTACACGTGTCTCTATCCGTCAGACTTATTTTAAAGACAAAGACTAGCGTCAATCGGCCTCGTTTAAATGCAGACTGGCGACTCCTGTGCAGTTTTTTATGGTCCACGCAGCGAAGCAGACTGTCATAACCGAAGTCGCAGTGAGTCACTTCGTAGAAGAGAGACGCGTCAGTGCGGCCGCACGTCCGGCGACAGACCAACTCTTCGCCGGTCTGCACCGCCACCACAGAAGGCGATCCAGTTAAATCCGGCGCCGTTAAATAAAACCGCGGAGGCCGCTAAAAATGCCCTCCCGACACGGGACAGCCAGGCCGGCCCGCCGCTACATGTGACACCAGTTCCGCTCCCATATGCTCGACCGGCCCGACAGCGGTAAAACACAGCTAATAAGTCAACTTCTTTTAAACTGCGGCATCTAGCGGTTTTCAACCCGAAACACAAACTTAGACGCCGGGGTATATCCAGCCTTCTGAGATGGATGACGGCGCACCGCAATCAAGTGTAAAAACCTGCCGCTTTCAAGCTGTGCGCCCTGTCAGTGGCGGACTGCACTCAGCCGGCCGGACACCGGCGGCCTGTCGCCTGTCGCGCCCCAGCTCCGGCTGTCTGACAGCCCCCAAGCCTGGCCGGCGAGCACTCCCTACCTTCACGTCTTCCTCCTCGTCTTCGCCTTCCCATTTGTCCAGCACTGCCGCTTTTTTGGTCGGCTCGTCCGGCTCGAAGTTGTCAGCGTCTACGAAAGCGCAGAAGGACAAAATGAACAGCAAAAAACGACATATACATACGACATAACGCATAACTACTTCTTCGTCACATCTCCATGCACTTCAGACCGCGTAATAAACGTTATGAAAAAATCACTCTCAAACTTAAAAGTCTCACCCCAAGAATCGAGGTCAGCCATCTTGTCTGTGTGTGTTGTGTCTGAACGTGGGAGCGCGCAGAAAGCGAACGAGCTAACAGCGTGCCCCGTGCCGCCGAGGATGATGGGATGCGGGAGGACCGCGTGCTATTTGGGCGCGTGTTCAGGGAGAGCTCGCGCGCCCCCTATCCCTGCAGGCACGTGCAGCTCCGGACCGAGTCGTGTCAGGCTTGTTGACAGTACTGTCACTTTCTCAGTACGCTTCAAAAGAGGCTGAGCTGCGTTTTGACTTTTATTTTTTTTTATTTTTATTGAATTAACGTTTCCATGCCATTGTTTAATGCAACACCACAGAACTCACAACAAGTATGTTCATATGAACTTCTTACATAAACTGCATGCAGATAACACACTGAAGCACTTTCTTAAATAAACATCACTTGCGCTTCCAAATAAATTAGACATTTCTCTTTAAAAGTTACCAAAATATACACAAACAAGAAAAACCTGTTTCCCATTTATTCACTCTTTATGACTACGAATCGCCATAAGATTTTAGCAACTCGGTTCAATTCCATTTCATTGTACATTATCATATACTAGGGATAAATTTCACACTGAAATATAAGTAATGCATTTAAGGCGTTAGTTAATGAGTTTAGCGAAAATAAAAGTATTTTTGTGAGAGAGTGTTCTCTAACTCAGGAATTAGGAAACACAATGGGGGGGGGGGGGGGGCAGTGGTCATATCTTGGTAACAGCTAACGATTTGTTAATGAGTGCTTCAGTAGGTTGAATTGCATCAGAGGATTTTAAATCCAAACGTCATTGCATCATGTTTACTTAGTACTTTTTCAAATCTATATACAAAACAACTTAGACCTAAATAGATGTATTTTGGAAATTATATATACCATGTTTTGCATCAATAATTACTCAGATAGCTGCTTATTCATTTTGACCTCATCTTCATCGCAGAATCCATATAATATTGTGGTTCACATAATCAATACTATTTTGTGATAATAACGTGAGTCCTATTGATGCAATTATATAGTATCTAATAAAAAGCAGTAATATAGCGATTGCTCAGCAGCCCTTGGATTTCTATACAGAAGGCTATGTTGTGCGGAGCGGGTGGGGCGGTAACGCAGCAGACGCGTGGTGTCCTTCAGAAAGGAGGCCAGAACATTATTAGGAGTATCAGCAGTTCAAGAAAGAGGGAGCAATGACAAGGGCGTAGCGTGGTGGTGGAGGACCTGCCTGCGGAGACAAACAGCCGTGTTACAAGGAGGATCCATCAGGAGAAACCGCATTAACACCAAACAAGACTTCGTGATGCATTATTTCTCTCATTAACAGAGAAACAACGAATACACTGCAGAACTAAAGAGGGTTACTCCAAGTGAGAATGCAGGTGTTACCTATGTTTAGAAGAAGGGGACTGTAAATTTGACAGAGGTTATGAATGAAATTACCACGGAAGTCAACTGGTTTGTCCTCCCAGGGGGTCAGAACCATGGCCAATGCGGTCTGCTGCACTGTGGTTAGGACAGACCGCTGAGCCTCGGTCACCGCGATGGCCTGTTCGTAGGAGAACATGCGGATCTGGGCCTGGTCAAACACCACCTGGGGGGCGGTGGATAGTGACATTTATATCAAGGCTTCTCAACCCAGTCCTCGGGGACCACCAGACGGTCCACGTTTTTGCTCTCTCCCAATTGGCAGGGAATTGGGAGAGAGCAAAAACATGGACCGTCTGGTGGTCCCCGAGGACCGGGTTGAGAAACCCTGATTTATATGATGAGGGATTCTCTGTCTCATACCCACACAAAGAGATGTTTGTACTACTATCTTGTGCAAATTACCTCAATTTAATTCAGTAAATCATTTCTCACCCAAGCAATCCATCTCGCCGCACACAGATATAAATAACTAATCAAACGGCTGTTTATATTACCAATGTCTGATATGCTGAGGTTAGGCCTAATAGTCTAATACTGTGTTTGAAGGAGATCCTTAGGTAATCTTTTACAGATGACAAACAAATGAGTTTATGAGTGAAATCAATCTTGTGAAATGTAAAAAGACATTCTCACAGCAAATTTTTGGTCAGGAATGAGAGAGACAGCCAATGGGGTGATGCCCTCTATCTGGTCCTTCACCAGCGCTGACATGGCCATGTCTGGGAGCCCGGCTGGGGTGAGCAAGACAGGAATTGGTGGAAAAGAGAAAACAGACATGGATGATCACACACAGACTCACAGACGGAGAACTGCAAAACGGTTATGGCCGACTACAGAATGACAACTAGGACACCCAGGCCTTGTACCTGCCAAAGCTCCAATCTCAATGAACACTTCAGGACCCCAAGAGCTGATTGGCCCAAAGGCCAGACTGTGGCTCAAGAGCGCCACCAGGACCTGGAGCTGCTCCTCTGAGCAGGACAGCCTGAGACTCCCCAACCACAGCACTGCCTTACTAAGGGTGAAGCAGAAGAAGACAACAAGGGATGGAACATTAGTGGGCTTTAAAAAAAAAACAGAAAATGACATTATCCATTTGCCCATGTTGCATAACAATACAGGGTCCCTCAGAGCCTAGACCACATCCCAGGAAGCTCAGGAGATCAGGCCACCTAACTGCATGCATGGAGGAAACCCACACAAACACAAGGAGAACATGCAAGGTCCACACATGCAGACAAAGAGATAGGAACCAGACCCACAACCATGGAAGTGTGAGGCTAAAATGCTAACCACTGAGCCATTTTACTGTCTTTACAGCATATTTTAAACCAGTCATTATCTTTAGCAGCTATTCATATTTATTGTACGGATACCGCCGTATAATGAGAACTCAAGTAACTTTATGGTGGACTGCATGATTAGCTGGCTACCTGAGAATGTTCTTTAGGCCAATTCCTATGCTAACTAATCACATTATTTCAGATGTTTTTTATATAGTCTTACAAAAGCCGTATAAAACCAACACATCGGAACATGTGTGAGGATGTGTAAGGCTGGATAGAAGCAGGGATGCTCTCCCGGCGCGGCTCTATACCCAAACTCCACCGCGTTCAGGTTCCGCATGTCCAAGGTCTTGATCCCACACACTATGTGGCCCAGGGCCACCAGGGTACTGGAGTCCAGCTGGCTGGGGGTCAGTCTGGTCGAGTTCAGCACCGATGAGAAGAGGACAGACAGCTGCAAAAGGACAGGTTACCATGGGTAACTTCAGTCACTTTAATCGAACCAAAATGCAGCGTTACAGCTAGTTCACCTTTATATAAAGTCCTGGGAACGTTCCCTATTAGCTGGTGAAGAAGATCTCTTTAGTCTCAGGGAAAGATGACTAAGGAGAACCATTATACAAAGTATCCCAAATATTCAAAACAAGTGGGTTATTTTAAAATGAGGCTGCATATTGGATCTAGCTGGATGCTAGTTTAGATCAGAAAAGAAAATGTTATTTCACACCAGGTTTTGTTGATGTTTCCAATAAACTGTCAGCTAGTACAGTGGATGTATAATCTTAGGATTAGAATAAACTCAAGCAAGAGGAGTAGTTCAGGCAGCGACTCTGCAGCTGGAACAGAAACACCCAGCTCCAGAGTTCACACAGACTCCAACCTGTCTGGTGCTCCAGTCACCGATGGCCCCAAGCGCGGAGATGGAGCTCAGCTCCGTCAGGCTGAGCAAACCAAGCTCCTCCTCTGTCAGCCGCAAAGCCAAGCGCCCAAGCTGAGAAACCACCGAGGTAGAGAAGGAGGACGCTGGTCCGTAGGTCTGCACAGGATGAGTACAGAGGAAGGAGTAGCTTACAAACACCATGAAGATCAGTTAAAACTCACATCTCTCTCAGTCATCATGCAAGAAAAGCTCAAAAACGCAAGTTACTGTACGACATTAAAAATGTAGTTATAAGGACCAATGACATCTTTTGTTTTACACCTTTCAGGAAGTTCTAACTTTCTATAAAAACAGTTGCACCTTTTTGACTTTGCTTAGGAGCTGCGTCAGTTCATAGTGCCTGAGGAAAGGGTCCTGGCCAATCAGCTCCAGGCAGCTGCTGAAGGCTCCTGCAGACATGCCCAGCAGGCTGTCCAGACTCCAGGCTGAGGGCGGCACCGCGTGCAGGTTCTCGCAGCTGGGAATGAGCATCGCCGCTGTAGAACATGACGAGAGAGCGTGACAGCGAGGAGGACGCGCTAAATTCAGGTAATGGGCCCAAGGGGCATCTATAGTGCTGCACCCACTGGCTCCGGAAATGTGACATTAAGATGCCCACAGTGGGTAGAGCAGCTGCCTTCCCTCTGAAATGAGTGTTAATTTCTTCTCCTTCATTGCCTACTGTTTTGTTTCTTCAACAATTAGATGTTTAATAGTCAGCTCCTGTTTATGGATGTCTACTGCTGTCTTGATTGCAACATCTTAATGAGGCAACTTTATTGATAATAAATAAATAAATGCTAAACTTAAGTAAATTTAAGTGTGATTTATCCACGAAGCTCACACAGCCATTGCTCTAAGCATTAGGCCTTCGGAAGTCCAACGTTGTAAATATGCCCGTAAGGTTACGTTGCAGTGTAGACAAGGAGAGAACGTTCTGGTAGCGTGTGCTGGAGCACGGCACTCACACGCGCGGCCTGCCCTCAGGAAGCCCAGGAAGAACTGGAGCACAAACTGCTGCCTCTCGAACATCCTCTGCAGCTCGGTCTGATCACTGGCCTGCCTACAGAGTAGGCCCACCGGCCCCGTCTCCCACTGCTGCTGGTTCAGGAAGAGGCGCTCTATGCGCTCCAGTGTCACCAGCCCCTGCAGGCAGGCAGATAGATAGATACTTTATTGATCCCGAAGGAAAGGGGGGGTATCCGGGGTAGACATCGACTGAATGCAGCAGAGAGCAAATACCGAGGGGATGAGCTGGATGACCTCTTTGGGCAGGAAGAAGATGAACCTGTCAACCTGCTCCAAGGTCTGAGACTTCCAGTCCATCACTGACCTGGGAGGAGAAAAGGATGTGCATGAACAAGTTTATACGTTATAAGACATGCGTCCAGGTATGACTGTGCATTATCAGGCTTCATTACGTAAAGCTAAGATCTTCCTAGACACTGGCAATTTGAGAATTTGCATTACAGTACACACCTAAACACTGACACATGCTTCGTGGATGCTAAGCTGCGCTTTGGAGATTATTTGCAGTTTGACAGGGCTGAGACCTCCTACCCGAAGGTGCTGGGCTCCTGGAGGAACCGTGCCACCATGTCCCGCTTGCTCCTGCTGTAGCAGAACCCTCTGAGGAACTCCAGGTTCTCGACGAAGAAGCTGCGGTCCAGCTGTGCAAAGACCTCATCCACCACAAATGTCGCCATGATGCCCAGCGAGCGGAACTCCTCCTCCGAGTACTGGCCCGTATACATACGCTAAGTGAATGGGGGGGGCAGACAAAGGGATCATACAGTCGAGCCTTAAACTGTCGACCCAACATCGTGGAGGTTAGGGGCACTGCCCCCCCCCCACACACACAATCTGGAAAAGCTGTGCAAAGATGTTTGGTTCCCATGGGAAGTGGAGTGGAGCAATGAAAAAGAAACGAGAAATGCGAGATACAAAGATCACTGCGAGATCACTGCGAGATCACTACAAGATCACTACAAGATCACTGCGAGATCACTGCGAGATATCGCGTGAAAGGCTGCTGTAAACATGCTTGGTCTCCTCTAAACCAACCCTGTACAAATATTTAATGCATTTCCGAGTTACTCAACTTTTTGTCCGTCTTTTGCAGTTTTTCGCAAAACTCCAGAAAAAAATCCCATTTAATTAATAATGCCATATATTGAGCAAAAAGGAAAGTCGTGATGCACTATTTTAGTATTGTAGTAACAGTGAATGGGGATACAGACAGTGGTGTAGAACTGAATAATGAAAGAGGCATAAAGAAAGATGGAGACCCACCAGCCTCTGTGTCATCTTGTCCACCAGCAGCGCCTGCTTGATACTGGGAAGGCGGAGGAAGGGATATGGGTCCCGTACAACCATTTCTCTCAAAGTGTCCATCATGTCCACTGAAAACTTCTTAATGGTGCTCATCCTGCACAAAAACGTGTCCAAATACTATTATTAGAAAGCTGCCAGTGAGACTAAGGTGTGAGTTTGTACTGAGTAGCTGATAACATTGATTAAATGACAGCTACTCACGAGAGCTCAAGTGCGATCTGAGAGCCCAGCTCTCCCAGGAGCTCTGAGAAGAAGTCAAACTGATAGAGCTCCTCAATGATGCACTTTTTCTGTCGAGGGGAAGACGCAGGACATCAGCAAACCATCCTCTTTGACCTCAGTCCGAGATTTAGACCGCATCAGCAGCACCGGCGCTTTCACACACAGAACTACACAGATACAGGGGGGAAAGATGGAGCAGTGCGGGGGGGGGGGGGGGATGAGGAGGGAGCAGTGCGGGGGGGAATGATGGAGGGAGCAGTGTGGCGTTAGGCACCAGGGAGGTGTGGAGCAGGACCGGCTGCCGTCGCAGGAAGGCGAGGACACTGCACATGGCGGAGGACGATGGCTGGGCCAGGACAAGCTGCCGCAGGGTCCTACAGTCCACCCCCTGAGCCACCGTCCCCAGGGCTCTGAAAGGCAGAGGGGTATTCACAGGTCACACAGTGTTAATACTCCCTCTAATGCATAGCAATGCATAATCTCAGTCCCCCTGAAAAATTATTTTTCTAACCCTCCCAACTCCCCAAATTTTATCATCGAGGACCCTGGGGAACAAAACCCTAAAGGTCAAATCCTAGAATCTCCATGGTTATAATGACTGATACTGTTACAAACACACACACACACACACACACACACACCCCCACACCTGTACTCATATATTTGTAGGGACTCTCCATTCATTTCTTTGGACGACATGACAGCCCTAAACTTAACCAAAAGTAACCAAACAAAATACAAGACTTTTGGCATTTTTACTTTTTTGACTGCAGTCACAGATATCTGTAAAATTAAAGTTATTATTGTGGGGACCAAAAAAACATCCCCACAAGATAAAAAGTTACAGGTTTTTAACACATTGTGGGAAAATCTTGATCCCAAAATGTAATCCTTAGAACCACACAAAAACATACACATACATACAAAATGGTCAACATGACAATGACGTCAACCGATCACACAGACAATATGTACAAATAACATAAATTATATACAGTGCGCAAGTAGCTCAAGTCGTCCACATAAGCAATAGTGTGTTCAGCTTAGTCACACAAGCAGAGGCGGCTCAGTGGAACATGCCAGCCGCGCAGTTCATTTCCATTTTGCGAAAACGGTTCATTCTAGGAAAGGGGCTGGATTTGCCATCTGTTAAATGTATTGTCATAAGGTGAAAATGAGGATGCACTTGTCCTGCCTGTGCTCATAACTGACCAGTAAGTTACATACTTACAGAAAGTCCGCCGTGGAAAGCTTAGCCGTGCTCTGCGCTGCTTCCTTGAACAGAACTTTAGCCTGAAATAGAAAATAACGCAATGGGGGTTAGAACTGGTCCTGGTCCTGTTTCACAGTAGAGATGCACTCTGGGCCGGAGCTGAGGTTCTGTGGGGAATGATTGTGTAGGTTCTGCTTTGGGGTCGTCGGCACTGCACTTCCGTTTTCCCACTTACTGCTGTTTGAGTGGGTAGCCAGAATAAGAAGCATGAACTGCCCCATCAGGCTGCAGGGGGGCAGTTCGCTGCTTCAGTGCCCCAGGGGGCGGCTCGGCTTGTGGGAGCAGTAAGAAGCCACCTGACACGGTCCTACAGTGTTCCCTCGCTACCTAGAACCGGCCTACTGGCTTCGCACTCGCCTGGAGTTTGGCTTAGACGTTGCACAACAAAGGAAAGCTAAATAATTGATCATTTAATTAAGAAGATGCTGCACACTCCCCGAAGGAAAGAAAGACAGGCAGAAACGCAGATGTAGCCACACCCCAAAGACACGGCAGCCCGTTGGAACGTGTCATGTGACCATCAGCTCTGTGACACTGTCAGAGCTGCTGGACGAAGGACCCCCTGCAGGGAAAATCTCTGGTAGGATTTGGGATGGGAGATGTGGGAACAGCAGTAAATAAATAAAATTATTTGTTTATTGGTCCAGATTTCATTCCATTTTTTCTCCATATTCCTGATTCCTCTGCACGCCTAGATTTTGAAATATGAGACCCCCCCCCCATTTATGGACTGGTAGCTGTAAATAACTCAGTCTTTACATATTCTTAACATATTCATGCAGTCACAAACTCGTACTGATTTCAGTATTTATTTTAAAAGTTTCGCCCTGAAATGTGCAAACGCTCCATCTCTTTCCAGTTTCCCCATTTTACAGGCACATGTATGATTACGTCACTGTAAGATCAGATAAACTGTTCATCTCTGAATTGATTGAGAGAAATTTCCATGGAAAGGCTGCATGTCCGCAGGAGGGGATGGTGGGAGGGAGCCTGGGGGCGGCCGGGATCAGGTCCTACCTGCTGCGTGTTCCAGGGACGCCTCTGCGCCATGGTCTGGTTGCTGAGCAGCAGAGTCACCCTGGGAATGACGCAGAGCAGCGGAGTCCTGGACAGCAGAGGCTCCACTTGGTCCAGCCACCTGGGGACCTCCAAGGAGCCCTGGCCTCACACACACGGGGCAGCACCATCAGAAGTGGGTAGTCCAGGTCCAGAGAGGAAAAGTCCAGAACAAGATTTTGTCTCAACCAACCAGTTCAGTACTCTGTGACTGTGACTATTTACAATTAACTGGTTGGTTGCTGTGACTGTGACTATTTACAATTAATTGGTTGGTTGAAACAAAATCTTGTTCTGGACTTTTCCTCTCTGGACCCTAGTTAACCACCCCTGAGCAGCATCTACAGAGCGGCTACAGAGGCGTCTCACAGGCAGAGCGGACTTGGCCGTGGTGGGTCCAGCTGCCACCCTGGTTCTGTATGTGTGGACCATGCAGGTTCTCCCTGTGTTTTCGAGGGAGTCCGTTTTCTCTCATGGACCAGAAACAATTTTGCTGGATTAGTACCTTTAAGCTGCTCAGGGGCACAGTAGAGGTGGGAGGAGTTACAGTTATTCTGAGGGCCCTTGAGTGACAGGGGCCTTAACAACTGGGAACATTATTGGATTGGTCTGAGTTGGGGGCCCAAAATCTGTGTGTGCCCTGTGATAGACTGGAATGGCACCCATGATGCATGACGTCTCCTGCCTCGTTCCCCGTGTTGGGATGAGCTGCACATTCACTGACACCCTACACTAGGCAAGCATTTATGCAAAATGAATGTCCCAGTGCGTCTAAAGGGTCAACCCTGAGCAAAGCAGACGGTGTTTATTTGACCTGAATGGGAAATGGAAAGTGATTAGTTGTCATTGCTGACACACCATAGGACAACAACAAAATGCGTCCTCCCCACATGTGACATCGCAGGGGGCAGCTAATTCAGCGCCCAGTTCTTGAGGGTAGCACCTTGCTCAGGGTACCTAGGTGGTATTTTGCTAGTCAGGGACTCGAACCGGTAATCTTTCAATTACAAGTGCACATCCCTAACCATTAGGACACCACTGCCACAGTATGCAGTGTGACGTCAGTGTGGATTCATACCCAGAGTTTGGTGGCGATAGCATTGGCCTGCGGGTCGCTGAGGTGGCGAAGGGCAACGTCGGGCAGGGTGGCGAGCAGGGAGTCGGAGGGCAGGGCCCAGATGCTCTCCACCTTCAGGCCGCTGACCAGCCCACCAAGGCTCAGCAGCTGCCCTGGTATCTCCCACTGGGACAGAGGAGGAGGAGGAGGAGGAGTTGGGGGATGGAGGATATAAATGGAAGTAAAAGGAAAAAGGAGAGACGTGAAGGAGAAATGAAAAAAGACACAGGGAATGAGGATTTGTCGAATGGCGCTTTTCCACTGCCACCAAGAACCGAGCTGTACCTGTGCCGTACCTCAGCCATACCCACACCATACCCGAGCCGCCCAAGCCGTACCTCAGCCATACCCACACCATACCCGAGCCGCCCAAGTCGTACCTGAGCCATACCCACACCATACCCGAGCCGCCCAAGTCGTACCTGAGCCATACCCACACCATACCCGAGCTGAACAAGTCATACCTGAGCCATACCCACACCATACCCGAGCCGCCCAAAGATTTCAGTCTTCTGCACATGGATTTTCTGAACGGAAAAAGGGTATATTCTATATTTTATTCATTATTAGTAGTACTGCACATCACAGTGTATCAATGCATTCCTGAAAACTTG